GAGGGGCAGAAAAGGTTCCACTCACTCCAAACTCAGGTGATGTGGGCAGATGGAAACAGAAATTAGGTTTCTACCCTAATGGTCCAGAAAGACCTCCTTCTTTCTGGCTCAGGATGAAAGGAGGAGACAGCTCAGCATCTGGGTCTCTGACCAGCAGGGCAGCAAACCCGGGCCTGAGCGCATCAAACCAGCAACCAACTTCCCTCCAAAAGCATATATACTCCTTGTCAGAGGCACCTGGAAGCATCTTCCTGCCTCTGTTTCTCCAGTCTGCCAGACTGATAAAAAGCCAGTCCTCTGTCCCCATCATATTACCTATGCCCCATCATCTACCTGAATTTCCCTTCACCTTCCTTTCCTGCCTGATGTATGCCTATTCATCCTACTAAACCCAGGGGAAACATGGCCGCCTCTGTGAAGTCCCCTGACTGCCCCGGGCCACGCTGACTGTTGCCTTTCTTTGGGTACTGCTGGATCCTCTACATACCACTAGCACAGCTCTCTTATTATTATTATTATTTTTTTAAATAAAGGTACTGGGGATCAAACCTAGGATCTTGTGCATGCTAAGCATGTGCTCTACCACTGAGCTATACCCTCCCTTCAATAGCAGTCTTATTAATTGGAATGAAAGGTAGTTTTGTACAACTGACATGACTCTCTGTGTACCCTGGTACCCAGCCCCATGCATGGTATACAGGATGTGCCTGGCAAATGTGTGCTTAACTAAATGGGATATGCCTTTCCTTCCAGACCTCTGCTTTCCCATTGCAGGAGGATGGGCTCAGGGCCAGGGAGCATAAACCCCAGGTGTTCTCAAAACTCCCAGGGGTAAAGGCCATCCTTTCTCACAGGGACAGGTTTACAGATGGTCATGACGGGTGGAGTGTGTGTTGGGGAGGGGCTGAAGGATCTTGAAAATCACCCAGGGCAGGGAGAGGCCCAAGCTCACGGGACCCTGGCAAGTCTCCAAGAGCAAGCAGATGAATCCAACTTTGAGGAACACTGAGTGGGTGGGAGAGACCAGCAGCACCTCCATGGGGCTCCCCTGGCCGGCAGCCCCTGCTCGCAGGCATTGGCTATCTGTGCCCTGGAACAAAGGCTCTCTGTGGCTTTCTCACAGGCAGGTCAGGGCAGGGCCTGAGCTGCAGAAATGCTTCAAGGACAGGTGCACACACCCTCCTGGGTTCCAAACCCAGCTTTAGTCACTGCAGAAGGGTGGAGATGTACCTATGGGACTTTCCAACTGCTGATTTTTTTGTTTTCATCAGAGGCGGAGCCTCGGGGCACTCAATCGGCTTCAAAAGGAAAACAACAAGCATTAAAGCGAAAGCATTATTTCTTTAAACACTCGAAAGCTCTTCAAGTAGTGAGGCAGGTGGTTGGAAGCGCAGAGAGTGGTGAGCAGGAGAAAACACCAGGCCTTTGAAACAGCAGGTGTGAGTAGCTTGGCCAGGGCCGACCTTGTGGGCTTCTCTTTCGCCACACATAACAATCGCTTTGGGCCTTAGTTTCCTCATCTGTATGATGGGGTAATACAAATACGGGCTTCAGAAGGCTGCTGTGGAAATTAAGTAAGATATAAAATGTGTACAGTGCTTATCTCAGTGACTGACACGTGATGAGTTCTCAATACATGGTTTCCATTCCAATAATTAACAGTAGGTCAAATGAGGTCTTTCCTGTAACCCTGCAATGATGAATAAGGTCCATCTGAGGACAAAATAAAAGGCTCGAAGTACCGTTGCTTTTTAAGTTCAAGGAACCGATAAACATTGGGGCCAGTCACCCTCCCGTAAGACTGCACTGGTTCAGAATTGGTCTTACTACAAAAGACCATCACCATCATCCCTCCCCACTCTGCCCAAAATCAATATAAGGGATCTAGATGAGAGACTGTCATTGAGGGTGGGTGAGGGTGATGATCAGAGAGATGGGCTATTTCCTCCCCTCATCAAAAAGCAAGAAGGTGAGGTCCTTGCACAGCTTAAAGTCAAGGGGGTAGAGGCTCCAGGAGAATCACTCCAAGTGGTGGCAATGGCACTGTCGTGCCCAGCTGGGACGTCTGCTTAGCAGAGACTTGGCAGGTCTGCCTCTTGGCCACCTAAATCTGAGGAAAAGAGCTGAAGGGAGATTGTATAGTGGGGACTTCCAGGTGACAGAAGGCCCGTTCCGTTTACTGCAAGTGTAAGACAGAGCGCACACCTTCCTGCTGACTCCATGGTGGGTAACTCGGGGATCATGAGCCTGAGGTCTATGGCTTTACCAGGACCACCTTAGTGTAGGGACAAAAGGGGCCCGGGATGGGTGGGGTATAGCTCAGTGGCACAGCGCATGCTTAGCATGTGTGAGGTCCTAGGTTCAATCCCCAGGACCTCCATTTAAAAAGGTGGGGGGGGGGGTTGGGGGAGAGGGCTGAATCAGAAGGATGGGATGTGAATGCTACCAGCTGGGGGTGAGCTGGAAAGGCTGGTTCAATCTCACAACAGACTACCAAGGCCCTAGGCAGGCAGAGACTCCCGTGCAGGGACAGTGGCAATGACGACTATCCAAGAGGAGGATAGCAACTTCACCATCAGCAGAATGCTGCTTCCTCTGATGCTGCTCCAGTCCTGGAGGCCCAGGTGCAGGAATGAGGGAAAGGAAACAAAGTCAAGTCATCACACCTCCATCCCCCTTCAACCTTCCAAAGCTACTTGCACTCGGGGAGCTGGGGGAAAAGGGCTTGGAGTTTGAGACTGAAGTTTAAAAAAGAACAAGACAGGGTCATAAGTAGTAACATAAAACTGTTCTGATAACTGCACATGACTGAAGAGAAATGGGTTCTGGCCAACACATTAGTGAGTCTCGACCTGGGTGGAAAGATGGTAGTCAACATAGCACGACTGGTGGCAGTTGGTAAACCCACTTCATAGTTATACCCCAGCAACAGATTCCTGTTCAGAAACTCAGAAGGAATACCTTCCACTATGGACGAAGGGCTGGGGCTGAGTGTCTCTGCATGATATGCCTCCACAGGCTGCCCAGCATCACCTGAGACAGTGTTCCAGCCAACAAAGGGTTCTAGATCTTTTTTCTTCTTTCACCTGTACATGGTATACCTAGATTTTATTCACCTGTCCCCAAAGACACCATGAACATGAACTCTGAAATCACAGACCTGGGTTCAAATCCTGGCTTTGTTGCCCACTAACTACAGGCCTTAGGATGTCACTCATAACTTCTTTAAGCCAAAACCTCTTCATCTGTAACTCAGCCTACTATAAACTCCAACACCAGTTTAAAGAGCTGGAGCAGATGCAGGTAAAAGCCTTGGAAGCACAGTTGGTACTTTTTCATTTAACAGTATTTGCTGAGTAGATTCTCTATGCCTTGAAGTATAGAGACGATGAGGCAAAGTGGGGGGAGGGACCGGACAAAGAGAAGGCAGGACAAAGGGTAGACAGATGGCAGGGTGGCCAGGGGTCACCTCCAGGCCACATGGGATGGAGCTGGCCTCCCAAGTCCGCATCCCCTAGAGCCCTTTCTGCTAAGCATGAATTTGTAAGGCCCCTGCCGGGGGACACAGGCCTGAGATCCAATCCCTCCCAGGAACTAGGAAGTGCCTGCCTGCCCCCTACACTGGCACAACAACTCTCTTCCAGGAGGAAGTACCGTGCTCCTTGGAACAGAAATATTCATCTCCCCACCTCTCCACGGAAACACCACCACCAATCCCCATGCTCCAGCATCGTGCAGGCTATGTGCCATTCAACCCAGATCTCATTCGTCCCCTGTGGAGGACGGCCCACACCCCAGGGCAAGGGATTTCTCCATGGAAACTTCTCTCAGAGCTGAGATTAAGGCTGACCATCCGATGGCTGTCTCAGAGATCTCTGGAAGTGGTGTGACTACGCCTGACCTGGGAGAGGCCCAGGCTATTAGAGGTCCCACCTGGGGAATCCCAACATGTCCCATTCAGAGACATGACACACCCATGAGACACCAACGTGTCCCCACCCCACCAATACTGGAAGAGCCGACAATCCAGAAACATAGCCAGGAAAACCACATAGCAGAGCAGAGGCAGGGAACAGGCCCTGAACAGATCACATTTGCAAACTTACCTGCTCCACTGAGCCGTGTCCTTCTGCACTGCTCCCTGCCTCCCGGCCGACCACCAGCTTAGAGGCTAACGAGCAGCTTTTCAAAACACAACCACGCTAGGGAAAGGTGGTGTCACCTGAAGCCCAAACGGCTCTACCTGTTCTGGGAAAACTGGAGGCAGGTGCAGCCTAATGAGTTTGGGAGGATGCCGGGGCCGATGGCAGCTGCTTGTATTTACAACAGGAGAGAGAGTGAGTTTCCAGAGTGAGATGTTGCCTGAGGAGGCTAAGAATTCAGACCAGCCATCTCCAGACCAGCACCTAATTGAACAGCCAACCACCAGCACACGCTAATGTGTTAATTAGCCACCAAATTGGAGTTAATTAAAAACTAATCAGGACATCAAAATGGAACATCTCATTCATAAATCATGTGCTTTTTTTTTTTTTGAGCTAGGAAAAGCGCTGCTTCTTCTAATAAAAGTAAGAGATAAAGGATTAGGCATTTTTCCCTGGGAACTTGTACAGTTTAAATATGTTCTGTGGTTAAGTGTTCTCTCTCCCACAGATAAGGCCCGGCTTGATAATTAACTGAACTGCCAGTCGTGTGAATCAAACCAGTGTTATCTGAGTAAGCCCTTCTCAAAGAGAAGCAGCTCGGTCTTCACTGCTCCTCAGTGTCCTGCAGACACGGCTGGCACGGTTGGATCGGCACTCTTGGAGCGATTCTCTAGGTTGTCAAAAAGTTCACAGCCTCAAGTGTAGACAAGCGTCAAGCTGCCTCAAAACCAGTAAGAAACAAGACCAGAAGAGGCCACCCGCACCCATTGGCTTCACTGTATAAACATCATCAAAAAGTCACAGGCGGGCATTTCTAACAATGAAAGGGCAGCTTCACGGCGTGCTCTGACTCACCTTCGGCAGACAGCCCCTGGATGTTTATCCCCTTAGCTGCCAGGAAATTCAAGCAGGCATCTATGTTTTCAATCTAGGGGGGGAAAGAAAACATTATACACTCAATAAACGTTCAGCCTCCTCCAGAGCCACCTCTTATTAGGAACAATGGGCTATGTCAGCGAGAGGGTTCACTGTGCATTCGCTAAGGTTCTCAAAGAGGAAAATGACATGGAGACACCGGATGGATAGATGGATGGATGGATGCAGGTCAGGACTCTCCTTTGTACTTGCACAGGAAAGGGTTACCTAATGTCCCAATCACACAGTGCCAAAAGTTGAGAGCCTGGCTTGCTCACCGCTGCCAAAAATAACCGGGCTGGAATTGGAGCGCTCGTGTTGATGACTGTCACCAGTGTTACCCTGAAAACTTGAGCAGCTGCCAGAAAAATGGAGGTGGGGACAAGGTTAGAAGACCCATCCGCCTGCCAGCAGCAGAGAGAAATTTCCAGCCACCACCAAGGAGGTAGGCAGTCAAACATAAAGTGAGTGAATGGGAATTTCAGCAAGAATCTAGGTAGTGTTAACTCACAAAATTCTCAGGATGGCAGGCATTGCAGAGGACCAGGGAGAGCTGGAAACTCACCAAACCCCTCTGTCCTTTGTGTCTGCTGTGACAAAAAGGGACCTAATCCCACCAGGGTCTGGGAGACCTCCCAGGCTTTCCAGGGCTGATGCTACGGCCAAAGGCAAGTTCACATCCAGCCCTCAGGAAAGAACAATTAGGTCATTCCCAAAGGTCTGATTTGACTTCAGTTGTCAGGGCTAATTATTTTTTGGTCTACTGGAAAATGTTCGGGCTCCATTCATGTCAATGGTGACCATAAATAAAAGAAATTGCTTTTGACTTGGCACGGGGATCTTTGAAATTCACACAATCTGCATTTCACAGTGGAGATCTTCCTCATCTCCACTCCCATCCCCTACCCCCAACCTGCCATCCTAGGCTCTACCTACATGCTCATGAACTCAAACCACTATTGAACCCATAGGACTGGTTTTGAACTAATAAATGACTGCCCTGAACAGCGTACTTGTGCCCATTCTCTTTCCCCTTTCTCAAACAAGATCCTGGTGGCTCCTTCATAGCCACAGAGGGTGAAGTGTCTCCATTTTAAAAGCCCTACTTTTTTTTCAGTTGGAGTCTAGTTGATTTACCATGTTGTGTTAGTTTCTGGTGTACAGCATAGTGGTTCAGTTATACATACATACCCTTTTTCATATTTTTTGTTTTAGTTTAAGATATTGAGTGTAGTTTCCTGTGCTATATAGTAGGACCTTGTTTATCTATTTTATATATAGTAGTATCTGCTAATCCCAAACTCCCAATTTATCCCTCCTCCCTTTTTACCCTTTGGTAATCATAAGTTTGTTTTCTGTCTGTGAATCTATTTCTGTTTTGCAAATAAGCTCATTTGTACCACATTTTAGATTCCATATATAAGTGATATCATATGATACTTGTCTTTCTCTGTCTGACTTACTTCACTTAGTATGATGATCTCTAGGTCCACCCATGTTGCTACAAAAGGTATTATTTCATTCATTTTTATGGCTGAGTAATATTCCATTGTATAAATATGCCACAGCTTCTTTATCCAGTCATCTGTCGATGGACATTTTTAGGTTGCCTCCATGTCTTGGCTACTGTAAATAGTACTGCTGTGAACACTGGGGTGCATGTATCTTTTTAAATTAGAGTTTTCTCCAGATATCTGGAGTCGCATTGTTGGATCATATGATAACTTAAGAACTCGAATTTGAGTAGTCTGCTCCAAGGCAGTCTTCTTCAAGTTCATGTCCACTGTGCCCTGATGTCTGTCATTTTCCTCCTCTGCACCCAGTCTTCACAGCCTCCAAACATGTTAAATTAAGCTCTGGGACACCTGAATAAAACTGCATCCAGATTTAAAGAATCCACTCAACCCTGAGATTGAGGTCGCTCCAACCTTGCATTTTTTAGCTCAGGTCCCCATCTCTTTCCCAGCTCACCTTCTAGGATCCTCATCTGGGAGACATTTTTTCATCTTTGGAAAAAGGGGCAGAATGCAATTTCCTGTACACGAAATAAATACTGATACTATAGGTTAGGCCTGCCACCATCACAGAAAATCATTTCTTACAAAGAGGGAGGAAAAAATGAGACAGCTTTGAACTCTCCTTTCTTCTTTCCAGCACAGGATGACTGACAGTGACAACCAGGTGCTACCACCTTGGAAGGTGGGTTGCGGGGGTGGAGGTGAGCAAAGAAGGAAGAGAATGGCTGGGATGACCCTGTGGAAGGTATTCCAGAGCAATTGGCTTCCGTTTGTAATAAAAATCATCTCTCTCAGTGAGAAAATATCAGTCCTCATTTCTGGTACTGTACACAGTGGTAAGATACCAAAACCACTCAAAAGGACTTGTGGTTCCCACACAAAGGCACTAGGTATTTAAATCATGGTAAAATGATAAAATTCCTTTTCTACCATTTGTCTCTTCCTATAATCCTATCCCACTTCTTTTAATGTAACGTCTTGCAAACGTCATAAAGGAAGCTCTGGCAATTGTACCCCCATGAAAAACAAGAAAAAGAAAAAGTGACGACCCCTGAATCTATTAATGCAAAACCAAAAATAGTGCACTTGATGTTTCTCCCAGGAAGTGTCACAGAGCTGGGCGGACATGGGTAGGTTAAGTTTTCTCAGCAATAGTGTGGCAATGTGACACTGGATGATTAAACAAACAAAAAACAAAAAACAAAAAACAAAAAACGGATACCTGCCAACATATCTTAGAAAAGCACTGCTCTACTACAACAGTGTGATTCTATAGAACCTTCCTTCCAAGGAGCATAAAGTGCATTTCCTTGTCACATTTATGGAGCATTCAATGTATGTAGCATCATTTAAAGTCTGGGGTGATTTCTTCCTGTAAGGTTAGCCTTGTGCATTTCAATTCATCCTTTCTTTATAAATGTTATATATTCTATTAAAAGGCAGGAGGGGGTGGATAATTATAGATACGGTAGCTCAAATACTTCCTCTTGTTGTTGATTTTCCAAAGTCCTACCTTTCTGTCAATGAATTTCGTAATTTAGATCAGTAGTTCTCCACTGGGAAAGGAAGACAACAATTTTGCTCCGCAGGGGACATCTGGCAAAGTCTGGCCACATTTTGGCTTGTCACAACCCTGAGGGGAACTGGCATTTGATGGGGGAGAGGCCAAGGATGCTGCTCAACATCCTACAACTCAGTGAACAGTTCCCTCACAACCAAGGAATTATCCAATCCCAAATGTCAGCAGTGCCAAGGGTGAGAAACCTGAGTGACGTGATTCTTTTAATCATTCATTCAATCAACGTGATTGTGCGGATGTCTGGTCGGTGGCAGGCACTGTGCTCGATTCTTTTGACAGTGGTGGTCCAGAGTCCTCCTCCCTGTCCAGGGGCCCACATTTACCTAACCCTTCTCTGTAGGGTCCACAGAGCCATTCCGCACAGCATTCCCCCTACTCCACTCCCATCCATTTCAGGAGAATCCGAGCATATAGACAAGGCAAGCATTAGGATCTCCCTCAACAGTGGGGAGAGGAGGCCCAAGGGCACCAAGAATGCTTCCTTCTAGAGAGGAGATGGAACACGGAACACTATCCAGATGGCCAGACTGCACTCCCAGAAAACGTGAGACCTGAAAATAAGAACTCGGGTCATCACTGAAAAGACGATTCCTAAGACCGCCAAGCGCCTTGAATTTTTCCCTCCACCGTGAATTCTCTGCTCACAGAAGGAGTTCAAAAAACATTCCATGCTTTAATAATGTTCCACTAAGGTTAAGAATCACTCCTGACACGGCGGCCAAGACCCTTTTCATCTGCACCCCAGGAAGAGCGCAGGGCTGGGAAGCAGCACAGGGTCAGATGTGGATTCCAACCTCCCGCTTCACTTGGAATGAGATCAGAAGGGGAGAGTGTTTCTTTGATCCAGGCTCTCTTGTGATTCCAATTCACCTTAAGGTTTTCTTGTAAATACAGGTAAACAGCCTATCTTCCTGGACCACTGAGATTGCAGCCTCCCACCACATCCCTTGAGGGGATGGGCCAGTGGCAGGAGCCTGGCACTCATCACAGCACAGTGAGGTCCTAGCGCCCATCTTTAATGAGGTTCACAGCTCATGTGGGGTCCAGACACATTGTGAGAGATGAGGATCCTGTTGAAGTTGGGACGCAGAGGGAAAGAAAAGATTCTTCACCAGCAAAGTATGTAAATACAACCAGAGTTTTTCATTAACACATAGTGGCCAATATAAACTACTTTCCAAAATTGGCTGAAAAAAATCTGTGCAAAGTCTGACATTCCAGTGTTGCTGAAAGGCACTGGGTGAGAAGATTGTTGTAGCTGCTGTCATAGAAATGGGTCCAAGAGCTCTGGGATCAAGCTCCTGGAGTTTGCCATGTTAGTTGGGGTGGAGGCGGGAAGCCAAGAAATGGGACTACAGCAGGGCTTGGAGACCCTGGGAGCAGAAAGGAGCAGGATGGGGAAGTGGGTGGAGTCCGGGGACAGACCAAAACAAGGACGCACTTCCCAGGGTTTCCTTTTGTCTGGGGCTATATGTGGCCTCCACCCTGTGCAGTCCGTGAACCCCCGAGACAGAAAGGCTACGATTAAGCCTTCCTCCCACTCTCAGCCAAGATCTCCATCCCAAAGTTGAATAGCTTCTCAACAGTCCCTAAACTTTAGATCTGCAGGGCAACTTTAATGGACCATGTATGTTGCAGCCCATGCCTCCCACATTCAGAAGTATATCTCCGCCTAGGACGGGCAGAGAGCAAGGGGAATCAAAACAAATGGCAAACAACTGGAAAGAGAAGGGAGGGGGGAGGCAAATGGAAAACTTCACATTTCAATCATGATTAAGGCCAGACTGGGTCTCATGATAACATAAAATATGCAAACCTCAGATGCACTACTGTGTATCTCCTCGGTAGCTTAGAGACTGATCAAGTACCATCTGTTGTGGCAGTTGTCATGGTAGCATTTTTCTCTGAATACCAGCG